TTTTTAAAAAAAAATTCTAGATAGAATTTAGTTTTCTGGTCAAGACACACAGCAAAACAGAATGGTCTGAGGACAGGGGAGGGGGCCACGGTGTTTGGGTTTTGTTTTTTGACACAGTCTCATGTAGCCCAAGCTAGCTTCAAACTCCTGGTTTTCCAGCCTCAGCCTTTGAAGGGCTGGCATTACAGATACACAAAAACACAAAGGAGCAAAGAACAGAGAAGATTAATGATTTTTATGGCGGCGGGATAGGGCAAAGCAAGAACTCTACCACTGAACAACACCCCACATCCCAAATGATCTTTAGTTACAGCGGTTCTAAGAATAATTTTATCATGGAGGGAACGTGTCACTTTGCTTTTTGTGACCAACTAAAGGTGACTTCTTCCACCTTAAAAGTGGGTATATCGGGCTGGAGAGATGGCTCAGCGGTTAAGAGCACCGACTGCTCTTCCAGAGGTCCTGAGTTCGATTCCCAGCAACCACATGGTGGCTCACAACCATCCGTTATGAGATCTGGTGCCCTCTTCTGGTGTGCAGATGTACATGGAAGCAGAATGTTCTATACATAATAAATAAAATCTTAAAAAAAAAAAGTGGGTATATCATTGTGTGTCACTGGCCCATTTGTCTTGTACTCTGTTCACTTGTCCTGAGAAATTTCACATGTTCACCCGTTTGATTCTTTCTCATATGCTGATAATATTTACATCAAACTTCAATTCCTTTCCCAGAGCTTCCACCTAGGCACCTTCACTTCAATCAACAACTGAACTCTCTACATTCTACCCACCTGCCTCCAATAGCAGCCTGTTTCTATATTTTTTTACTGCTTATGGACACTATGAACCATAAAAGATCATCTACACCCAGTAGATCTCTATCTCCAGTTTTGTGCCCTATCAATTTGTTTCTTAGCCAGGTGTGGTGGCTGTACATGGTGAGACCCTGCCTTTCGGGAGAGGCTCCAGTGAGAGAGACTCTCAAAAAATAAGGCACAGACATTTAATCCCAGCACCCAGGAGGCAGAGACAGGCAGATCTCTGTGAGCCCAGACCAGTCTGGTCTCCAGAGAAAGTTCTAGGTAAGATGACAACAAACAAACAAAATGCACTTAAATGTAACACATGGAAGTTTACCATCCCATGCAAAAAATACATGATGGAATATATAGAATTTGTTTTATTTTCTGGGATTTTTGTGGGGGAGGTGGTTTAATACAGTGTTTCTCTATGTAGCCCTAGCTGTCCAGGAAGTCACTTAGCAGACCAGGCTGGCCTTGAACTCACAGAGATCCACCTACCTCTGCCCCCCCCCCAGTGCTGGGATTAAAGGCCTCTAATCTCTCTAAACCCCTCCGTATCTCTTCTTGTGTCCCCCTATCTGGGTCCTCTAAAATCTCTATGGCTAATTCTAGTCAGTCAATCACTGACTCCACTCTCTGATTCAAGGTAAACTTTATTGGCAGTCTTGGAGTGTGAGAACAAATCCCTCAACACTTAACTGTTGATCCACGTCTTCAGGCCCTGGGATTAAAATCTTTTTAGCAACCTCCAGTAACAATATCAATGGATCTTTAAGTCTGCTTAGCTTCCTAGAGAAAAACTTGTAGTATATAGTCTGGTGCATTGATCTGGGCCCAGGACAGGAGAGGATGTGGATTCTCCTCCTGCATACCCTCCTCTCTCAGTAGAAGAACCCTCTGATTTTCTCTTCAGAGATTAGTCCTGCCTTTTATCAGGGTGGTTACAGTCGTTAGGAGGGAGTCTGAGGTCCTACCTGTTCCTTCCATAAGACTTGGCTATGATTTATATATGGTTGACCCATTTTTGAAAGTCAATCCTCATTAAAGAGTATTGACTTGATGGTAGAGTGTTTTCTTAGATTGTTTAAAGTCTATCCATCACCCTGTAAGAAAGAAAAAGACACAATCCCTATTATGAGCTAGTAAGAGGTGAGTCAAGTGGGACATTTAGGAGCTCAACAGGGCTGTAATGAATTATCTCAAGATTGGTCTGTTACAAAAACCTGTGTGGCTAAGCCTTGCCTGCATTTCTGACTCTTGCTGTCTTGGAACTCTGTTAGCAAGAAGGTCCTTATTAGAATTTGGTCCCTCGCCACAGACTAGAATTGTGAACCAAACAAACTCTTTAAAGCTGTGTATGTGGCACATGCCTGTAATCTTAGCACCTAGGGTACTGAAGCAGGAGAATTACAAGATTCAGATCAGTTTGGGAAAAAACAGCAAGATCCTGTTTCAAAAAAAAAAAAAAACCAAATCCATTTTTCAGCTGTTAAGACATTACAGAGCAGGTTTTTTTTTTTAAGGATTTATTTATTTGTTATGTATACGGTGTGCTGCCTGCATGCATGTCTACATGCCAGAAGACGGCACCAGATCTCATTATAGATGGTATTTAAGGCACCATGTGGTTTCTGGGAATTGAACTCAGAACCTCAAGAAGAGCAGTCTATGCTGTTAACCTCTGAGCCATCTCTCCAGCCCAAAAATCCTTTTTTTTTTTTTTTTCCTGTCTTGTTTTGTTTTTCGAGACAGGGTTTCTCTGTGGCTTTGGAGGCTATCCTGGAACTCACTCTGTAAACCAGGTTGGCCTCTAA